TCTGATTGCACAACRATTTCAGAATCGACATGCTAACGTGTAGCATCCACATTTAGCCTACTTCTGTAAACGGGGAGCTGAATGTGATGTCACTTCTTTTTCTGCGCATCAGGACTGTGGAGTTCACACTGGAGTCTGATGGAGGTCACTTTTAAAATATAGTGTGAACATCTGCGCAAAAAAAATGGACCTAGCATTAAGACCTTCAGTGTTAACGTAGACTTAGCCTTCTGCACTAGTCTGGATATTTTTAACCGCCCATCCGCACAGAAACTGTGTTTTTGGCGGGAAAAGCAGATATTTTTGAAAACGCTTTCCAAAGTGGAAAAACAGAAAAGCACAGTGGTGGTTAGGATACATTGTGGTTCATTACAGCTACCTTGTGGTCCTCGTGGTCAGAAGTGTGCTACTACCATCTGTCCGAAAGAAAAATATGCTTCTAAAYATGACTGCTTTGTATTTTTTAAGCAACTCTGAATATTCAGAAATCACTACCCATCCCCAATATTGAGCTTGTTTGCTGGAAATTGCCCAGTGACGTTGGCAAAAATGTGGCATCAAACAAAACTCAGAAGCTGGGAAAAAAATTAAATAAAATAAAACAGAAAWACAAAGACTCTAAATCGCTCTGTAGGGCTGAAGGAACCTGCAGCAGTAATTCACTCCCGGTTGAAGCGACCCGTTACAGTCAATTAAGCTAATGCTAAAATAAATGCTAGTCATGTTGTACAGCTTTATGAACCTGCCAAATACCACATGTCAGACAAATACACAGAGGACTTTTATAGATTATTTGATCACATTTCTATAGAAAAACAATACAAGTGGGACTTTTAGTCCAAACAAACAAGAACATATAGAGACCGGACTGAATGTGCAGCAGAAGCACAGCACTGATCAAAGAACAGAAATAAATGTCACCATTGATTTTGGTTAGATTGATTGCATGTGTGCTCTAGTTGAAAAYCAACGCGTGATGTGTTAAATATTTTTAAATACCACAAGAACAGATTTTCTTATTACTCTGAGCGAAGGAATTCACAGACACAGAAYGTTCTTCCACAGAATAAACATTTGGATTAAATACACAAAACACATCTGTAGTGTTTTACTGTGTAAACTCTCACTGTTGCACTTTTTTCCCACTCTCGAGAGCAGCAGCTGTGCAGATGTTTGACGTTCTCACATACAGTAACCGCAGCTTTTTTCTTATCTTTTTTTTTTTTCCTTTCTCTGCTCTGTGTGTCGGCGCAGGTTTATGAGGCATTTCCAATCGTTCCTTACAACTGTGATTGAACATCCACGAACGGCACAGGATCACGGGGCTTTGAGCTTCCTGCCAAATCCTCGTGGACGGACACGGCACGATAATCTGCATTGACGACACGACTTTGGTGGTCATGGGAAGAGCCGATGAGGTTCCCGCCTCTCAGTGCCTTATGGAACTCTGAGTCTAAACAATGCAACTCCTTCAAAATGATATTGCTTTTTTGCTTGAAACTCATACGAAACAGAATATTGGTGCAGTGTTTAAGAACACACACACACACACACACACACACACACACACATATACATATATATACATACATATATTTATATATATATGTATATGAATGAGCAAACAAAAGCCATTTGCAACTTTAAGCACATTTTGAAGTGCCAGAAAAAGGATGAATCATACTTGATACGTGTCTAATTGGTTTCCTGTAATCAATATGAACAGATTACACTTCATCCTTCTGCTGCCAGATTTTCACTGGTTCTCTGTGTTGAAATTATTTTATTAGATCTACTCAGCGCACTGTAAGACACTGGTTATTAGATAATAGCTTTTATACTGCTGTGAATCCCTTCTAATGACCATGAACTTGACGTAAGAGACAGACTGATCTTACTGGAGGGGAAGCGCCATCCAGCCCAAAGCAAAGACACGCGCTTTGTTTGTACTCTGAACTCTGGTGCTGCTGCAGTCTTCTGGACGTTTGAAGGAACTCACGAAGAAGAGACGATGATCCAGCCGGGTTCTTGAGGTCTCCGGAACCGGGCCGTCATTCGTACTTCCAATACTGCCAAGAGTGTGTTTTGTAAGACAGTGAGTGGACGAAAAACCAGTCTGTGAGTTACAGTTTGAAAACTATCAGGGAAGGTTTAAAYGCTTCAAAGAGTCTTTCCCTTAAAGTCATTAAAGTCTTCGTTACATCAAAATAAACCAAACGAATGGAAAATGGAATTGTAAATTAGCTGTTTTCCAATTAAAGGATAATAGTAAAAGACTTTTGACTGTAGTTTTTTTTAATTATTATTATAATTATTTTCATTTTCCGTCACACTCCGCATTTTAAAAATGCTGTTTTTTTTTTTAGTTGTAGTCTTTGGCAAGCTCATTTCGTAACCAATACAGAAAAGTATGCCAGTACAACAAAATGTAGATTTTTACAAGGTATACGGGAAAGATCCCAGAAGCTTAGCACATTTCCATATTGTTGTAATCATGTTTTTTTTCTTTCATAAAGACTGTGATTCCATAGGATTTAAGTAGATATCACCACCTGAAACTATGGGTATATAGTTTTATATTTCAAAAAAAGTGAAAAAACCTAAAGTGAAAAAAGGAAAGACTTGTGTACATTTAGATGAATGAGAATTATTTATATGACACAATGACAGACTGTGTTTATCCTTCTTTAATTTGCCTTTCTTTAAGTTTATTTTTTTAACAAGTTGCATGTAAAGTCAGTGATGCTTGACAAGCTTTGCTACGCACAAATTGACCTTAGTTTAAAGCTAGAAATACACATCGGGTCATTTTTTTGTGAACCCATTTCAGCATTTTTTTTTTCAAATCATACAGGTCTCACCATCTGCAGAAACACACAAACAAAAAAATTAAATCGCCAAGCGTAGTAGTGGATATAAAATGGCAAAAGATGCATGCATAATTTGCTGAAACCCCTATGAAGGGGAGCTGTACAGAAAATTTTAATACATTTTGTAAATAAAATGTACAGAAAGGGTCTCCAGTCTGTCTTGTTTTGTTCTTTTTCACTGCTCGTCTTTGTTGATTAAAATATCACTGTTTGACATACCAGATTACACTCAAAGAGACAGATTGGACCTTAAGGGTTGGGCTTTAGTGGAGTGGTTATCAGCAGTGGCCCCTCCCAGAAAACTTTATGGGGGGGCCAGTGAAATTTCAGTGATTTATTTACTCATTAAATCTGTATTTATTTACTGGATTTCCCATTTATGACTTGAAGAAGATGAATGTGAACCTGGTGGGGACCAAACAACTGGACTGAGACCCACTGTTTGAGGTGGTCTCGTTCCCCTTCCAAACGAACTCTGGTACGGTTCGCTTCTGGTGTGAATACAGACTGACTTCGAACAGAACCAGCTGCAGGAAACATGCACCTTTTTGGACTTCATGAGCCACCGTTAAGCAACATGGTAGCCTTCAGTGATGCTAACGCTACCACGTACTGCGCTACCAACAACGAGCCATTGTGGGCCAGGGCGCACTGAGCATCTCGTCGTCTTTTTGGTTGCAACACGCATTGGCCAACGTTGATTCAAAATGTGAAACCRCCGTTGAATGAGCTGATCTTGAAATTCTAAATGGTACTGCAGTTGTATTAACAGCACCATCTTTCTTTCTGGTTCTGCGCTCAGTCCCGCCTCCTTCATTTCTGTCCAATGGGAGCAATGATCGTCACCCACGTGGCTTTGTTTGTAATGAATTTGTTGTGAATGCAAAAAGCACCGAGCAAAAATAAAGTCCACTTTTAATCTGGACCAAACAAGTGGACCAAAGGAATTTCCTGGTGTGAATACAACCTAAGATAGCAGCAGTTTACTTCTGCTTTAGCTGCAAACATAATTTATGCTTTCTACGCCCGTTTTTGGTATAAATGCCGACATCCAACCTGTGTGATAAGTTCTGCCATGCCCATCAGCAGGCAAACATGTGTCGCACAGATTTTTGTGTAGTCAATATTTACATAAGTTATCCCATACAAGGACACAAAACYGTGTCAAATGACTCAAACATGTTTTTTTTTGTCTTTTTGAATACAGTATACAGTTGAAGCATTACTGCTACCTAAGGTTGTAGTAAAAATAGACCCCTGACTTGACTTGACTATTCCATTTCAAGCATCTTTCTCCACAGACTAATGCTGCGTTCACACCGAACACGATTTCAGCTTCAAAATCACAGCCAACGCTGAAGTTTGAAGCTTGTGCACTTTG